GGAGACTTGGTGAGGGGTGGAGAGCTGAGGCTGGAGAACATCATTGAAGTGGTGTGGGCAGGAAGGAATAGACATCCCAGTTAAAACACTGGTGAAAGTTCTCCTTGGAATCTCCTTGCATGGCACTTCAGTTTGATCTTGTGGTATCTTAGAAGAATTTCTTTTTTTCTTCCCATGCAAAGGAGTCAGGAAGTATTTCTAAAAAAAAAAAAATCTACGGGAAATTTCTTATTTGAAATTTTGAATAATTTTTCTTATTTTGGTCCATCTTGTTGCTTAGTTAGAAACTTCTTCACCTTAAAAGAATGACCACTGTCTTTGTGATGATGCTTTTTTATAACGTGAATGCTTCACCGTCTCAGAGCAGCCAGGCTGACAACACAGAGTTGTCTTTGCTTCCCAAATCACCCCAGACTCCTGCTTCTTCCATGTGTTTATGGGGAGTTATTAAGTCCATTCTTGCCATCCCTTAGCAGAAGAGATCAAACAGCAGATAAACCACTCATGCCTGCAGCAGCACTCCCGTGTTGCCTAACTGTCTATTCTTCTTCCAGAGGCACCTTCCTCCATCCCACCCCGGGGAAAGTGCTTTGGTAAATAGATTAGCTCCGCTCTGTGTTCTTGGGCTCAGCAAACAGAGAGTCTGGCAGGTTGGCAGAAGAGGGAGGATTTTCCAGCAAGCCGCTAAATGGCCACGGAAATGTCTGGCCACTCAAATGGAAGGAGGAGGGAGAAATGTAAACTCTTTGGTTGATGAGTAAGAAAAGGCTTTGGCAAGTTTTTCAACCTGCTGCTTGTCTGAGTTAGCAAAAAATTTCAAGTGGTTTCAAGAGAAATGGATTCCCCCACTCATTTCACTGGGTGTCAACTCTGACTTGGAGATAATGTTCACTAAATTGAGTTAAAAACTTCCCTGCTTTTCAATACAGGAAGAAGGAGAAAGATCCTATTAAAAAGAACTGCAGAGACCATTTTGGAGCTCTTGCTTCTGGTGACCTTTTAATAATGCACAGCAGGACTGAAAGCAGCAGTGGTCAAGTTCCTCAGCTTCAGAAAAATGAACCCTGTTTTCTGAGGCTGGGCTACTTCAGCCTGTGACATTCGTGGCAGGTAACATTTTACAGGATTTCGGTGACAACGGGGTGTAAGCTTGGAGAGGAAGGAACCTTTTTGATGTCTTTGCATTCCAGATAAATCCCCTTGCTTTTTGAGTTTTGGCATCTTTGGTTTATTACTCATGCTCAAGTGTGAGGGGAAATACTACAGAGCTAATTATAATCGCTTTTAATTAGATCCTGCAGCAACTCCTGCAAGAAATTTTAAGTGAGTGATGCACATGGTCTGCGAGGTTGGTGCTGCTTTACCACCAAATCCCAAAATCACAGAATCCTGGAATAGTGTGGGTTGGAAAGGAACTTAAAGCTCATCTAGTTCCAACCCCCTGCACTGTGCAGGGACACGTGTCCCTGCAGCACATAGGTATGGGCCCCAAATCATAATGCACAAGAAAGTGTTGGAATACTTGGACCTGGAGGTATTTTGCTGATATTTGGGAACCTGGTGAGGTGGCTAACAAAGCAGGAATTTCTGGTGAAATTTCTGGTTGTACGGGAGCGGGACCCGTTTCAAATATCCACTCTGTGTCCTGGATGTGAAATAGTTCTTAGGAAACTGTTATATAAAAAGGTCTCACGAAATTACCCACTTAAACAATGCATCATTCCATGCCTCCCGTGGCATTAGCCGGAGTGAGTGGTGTTATTCCTGTGAGAGACGGGCTTTGGACAGGATTGTGTGGAGATATGGCTGGCTGTAAGTCTCCCATGTCTTTTTTCCCTGTGATCTCCTCTATCACAAAGAAAGTGCTTGAAGAAATAATCTCATAACTATAGAACTGGATGATTTGTTGCTGTTAACAGGAAAATTCTTAAAATTAAAATGAACCCTCACTTTGAAAGACTTGAGCTTGTAAATGGATCGATTGAGTCAAGGTTTCCAGGAAATCAACTTGCACCTTTAAGGATGTGCACAACCTTCTCTCTGGAATGGCTGAAATGCAGGGCTGGGAGGGCTCTCCTTCCACTTCAGGGGCTTTTGTGTTTGTCAATTTTCAGGCTTTCTGAGAAGGAAGTTCTGGCTTCTGGTATGGGGAGATCAAAGCATGGAGAAGGTTAAGAAACTTGAGTGGAGTTCTGGGTGAGTCAGCGGTGCTTTCCGACATTCAAGTCAGAATCCTTAAGGGAAACCTGGGTCCCACTGGCAAATCAATTGAGGCACAGGTTAATAACAGAAACAGGTTAATTCCTTTATTCTTTGCTTCTCAAAATGCCTTATAAAAGGAGTTCAGGATTTTCTTTAGGATCCTTGTTCTATCAACAGAAAAACTCTTCTTCGTCTGTCCATTTCTTTAAATACATTTTTCCCTCCTTTCCTCACTAGTATTAATTTTGGGGTCTTATATCCCTTTTTTCTTTCTGAAACACCTCTAAACAAATATGCTTGGGACTGAACTAGGTCTTTTCCAAGAGCATGTTCTGTTTCCTCCTGTTTTCGGTAGGGATGTGGAAGGCCACACAGACAAGTGGTGAAAGCTAGGGATTGAGCTGGCCTGAGCAGGTTTTCCATGTCCTGTGCTGGAAGCAGGCTCTCCACAGAAGGAATTGGTGTTTACCTAACCTTTGCATCTCCTGCAACGTTTGTATAAAGGCACATCTGCAGTGCTCAGTGCCACAATGTGCTTTAGTATGGCCAATTACTTGTCTGAAAGCTGTGCCAACCGTAGAAGCAGAAATGTGCATTTTAACAGGCAGTTAAAAATAGCTTGGTTTGTTGTAAATCACCCTCCCCTAGCTGGTATTAATTTCCATGGAGTTGAAGAATTTAGAATTCTCCTGGTTTCTGCGATGGCTGCACATTGAATTCGGAATATTGCCACTTCCAAGCAGAGTTTTAATGACATCAACAGTAAGTTCTTTCCAGTGTACTGAAATCCTTAAGCCTTAAAGGAGAGATAACTGCTGCATACTCTGCTGTGTTTGTCTTCCATGTGTTTTCATTCTTTTTCCCTGTAGTTTTGAATTGAACAGGATTCAGTTCTTCATTAGGCGTTCTTGGACTGGCAGCAGTATTGCTTTGGCTTTGTTCCCAAGTACAAGTTAATGTAAGGGTGGCATTCCAGCTTTCCAGAGGGAAAAAAATAACCAAACCAAAATAACCTGACAGACTGTGATTAGCTGTGCAGGTGTATCAGGCTTGCATGTTCGCAGGTAATCTGGCAGTACCAGCTTCATTTGCACCAGGGATGAAAACACAGCCATGTTTCTGTTTCCAGAACCAAAATACATCAGAATCTTCCTGTTATCCATTGGATAACTCTGGGGCAAAAACGAGGCTACGTTTGCTGCACTGCACACTTAACTGCTCTGAATCTTACTTCTATCACTTATTACCATTCTTACTTCTATCACTTATTAGCATTCTTTAAATCAAAAACATTTTAAAAAGTTTTCAGACTTGTTTCACAAAAGTCCTGGAAAAAAGGTAACAACAAAAAGTGAGTGTTGTGAAGAGTTAATTATGGAAGGAAAATCTCTTCTGAGGCTTAACTGGAGGCTAATAATGAGTTTCCATTGCCTGCAGGTATGTTGGGATGGGAAGGAAATGGCTAAGGCACCAGAGTGGGGCTAAACTGGTTTTGTTTTTTCCGTGCTGGAGATGGCAGAGGAATAAGTTGTTTGCTCTTTGTGCCTGTACATCACAGGTGAGAGCATCTCCCCACGTGCCTGGCCCACCTCCATACTGAACATTTGGGAGCATAGGCTGTCTCTGAGCCTCTCTGTGCAGCACAGCAGGCTCTGGGCAAAGCAGGGTGCTGCAATATCCAAATGCTCCAGCTGACGCTGGCGTTGCCACAGCTACACTTGCTTCAGCAACTTCAAAGAGAAAGGGGGAAAAAAGTGCCTCAGCTGTATGTGACCTGAGCTGATTCATGCTGGGAATTAAATCCTTTCCAGAGACTTGCAGTGTCCAAGATGGAGGGGAGAGGGGATTTCCTTGGGAACAGCTTTTGAGTTTTGCATTTTATTTCGCACCCTTGCCTTGGGAAGGGAGACACGTGCTCTGTTTGCTTATAACTGCTGAGTAAGGTATGTGATGAGTTTAGGTAGAGCTGGAATTAAGGTGTGCTCTGTGTTCCGAGAGAGTTGGTTGTGGGGGAATTAATAAAATTAGGAAATCTTATCCATTTTAGTGTCTGAGATACAGGTTTTGTGGAGGCAAATCTTGCATTTTGAGTGAGTAGTTGCTTTTGAGTACAGAACACTTGCTTTTGGGTACAGAACCCAGGATGAGGGCAATTGTAGGTGCCATGAAGAGTAACCTAAGTGATGTAAGGGAGGAGCACTGTCCATTGCTGAACGAGAGGTCACAATGTCCTCAATGCTTCCGTCCATCAAGAAAATGATATCCTGGCTCCCAGTCCCAGCTCTGCTCCACTCCTTTCTTTCTGGTGGCAGGTGTGACCTGGCCTTCATCTGGAGCTGGACACAGCTCTCCCTTCTCGTTATTGCTGCTGCTCTTTGGCAGCCTGGAGCTGAAACACGAGACTGTGGCCGTGTCCTGCGCCCTTGCACGTCCGCATGTGTGAGGCGGGGGTCCCAGGCAGCAGCGGGGTAGGGGTGCACAGCAGGACATATGGCTGGCTTCTGGAGGGACTGCGTTTCCAGGAAAACCAGATGAGGGGAGGGATGGAAGGGGTGAGTGGGGTGAAGGATCAGGTGCTCGGGCCAGCCAGCCAGCACATATTCCTTACAGCGTCACTGGGCCAAGGGCTCGCCTTACACCTCCAGCGTGGGCAGAGCAAATTGTACTGGTGGGGTATTCCTGTTTGTCCCAGACCCCAGGCCCTCTGAGCTGGCAGCAGGAAGGTTAGGTGTTCACAGGGTGGCCCCCACTTCGGGGCTCACCCCAATGGTGAGGGCACTGCTTGGCTTTCAGGGGATTTAATGGAGAGGCTCCCACAGCCTGTTGGGCAAGGGGAGCAAAATGTCACGGGGGGGGGAACTATTTTGATCCCTTTCCCTGGGGGGGCAGAGGGGAGGGAAGAAGTGGGCCATAGTAAATGTCACATGGGCCCGAAGTTAGTGTCCCTCTGAGCGTGGACAGTGCTTGCTGGACTCTGCCTCTCTGTTTGAGCTGGAGCAAATGTGGAAGGCGAGCTGCTGCGAGCAGCTGGTTCTCCTGCTCAAGGAGCCCATGGGACAGCTGGATCTGTGGAAGGACTGGAGGTAGGTCTGGGCAGCCCAGTTTGGGACAGGACACTGAGAGGCAGAATGAGTCAGGAGGGGTGCAGTGACCTCCAGTCTGAAATCCTGACACTGCCTTTTCCCTCTGTGCCAGACTTGGTATTTCACAGAGTTTTTCCTGCTGATACGGGTCATGACCAGTATAAAACACTTTTCAGGTGCAAGGTCTTTTGCACCAATTCTGTTATTGTAACCAGGAGAGTTTTCCAGAGAGTTTAGGAGCTGGGGAGTCCTCTGAAAGGCAGCTCTGGGGTTTTCACAATCCTGTGCCTTGCAACACCTCTGAAAGAACCCAGACGTCCAGTGGAAACTTGTCCTTTTGCTGTGTGCTCCTGCTTGCTTAATTGCTGCTTGTGCGGGGATGATGACAGAGTGATTTCATGAAAATTAATCTTTTTTATTCTGTGTATGATCTGTCTAACCTGTGCTAGAATATACAGTTACTTCTTGGATAACATCAGGCTGGTTGTTTGTTGTCAGTGGCAAGTGCTCTTGCTGAGCCAACTTTCTGATCTGTTTAAATCATTTAGATAAGTGGCATAACATCTCCCTGGAATGCTGGGATAACAAGATAAACCACGCTCGGTGTTAGGAAGGGAAAGGTTGTGTGTCTCTCCATATCTCTCAGGAACTGTTGAATGTTTTTTGGTGTTAATCTGCAGCCGTAACGACACAGCTCTAACCTGCAGTTATTAATTGGGAGCAGAGCCAGCAAATGCTGCAGAGTTGGAACTGATATTCTGAGAATTGTGGAAAACAAAGCTGGGCAGAGGAGCAGCAAAGGGAATTGGTTTGTGATAACTGCATGTACAAGGAACAATGAGGGACAGAGGAAGGCAGGGGACGTCTATAATGGGCTCTGTGTTTCTCAGAGAGACCTAGTTAGGAAGATGTGGAATAAATAAGTCTTTGAGTCATTCCCTTTTCCATATTGGAAAGCCTCCTAAATGTGTCGTCACAAAGCATCTGCATGCTGAAGATGTGCAGTTTGATAAGGTATGATAGATTGTGCTCTAAGTGTGACAATAATAAGGGCATGTCTAAACACACAGCAAATGTTTTCCTTCTCCCGTGGAAAATGTTTACACGCACTTCTCAGTGAAGAGGGGGAAACAAAGTACTGGGATTTATTGCTTATGCTACAGGAAGGGAAAACATGGGAATGGCAGGCTCAGGGAGAGCTCTGGAGAGATGAGCTGGATACTACAGCCTCCCCTGAGAGTCACAGGGCAGTGACTGCTTGTCCTCTGCTGGGGCTGCTCCCCTCTCGCGGGGTCTTTCCCCAGTCCCCAGCTGCATCTCCCGCCTGCTCCTGTCCTCCAGCACAGCCGTGAGGGCAGGGCTGGCTGGTGTCCGGCCAGGAGACCCCACACTTGGACTTCCCTGACAACTGTGCTGGGAAAAAAGAGCTGCTGTGGGAGCGCTTGGGGCTGTGGCTCAGGTGAGAGGGAGAGGAGCACAGCGCTGGCTCACCGCCAACGCCATTTCTTCTTGCCATTCTTCCTCCTTTTATTTTCTTTCCCCACCCCAAAGCATGGGAATGTAGTAATTACATTTTGACCCAGTTTCCAAAATCACTGTAGCATAGACTTTGACGGGGGGGCCAGGGGGAACCACTTAGGAATGAAAACCAGCCATTAGCTAGTACCAGAGGGGCAGAACAGCAGCAGACTGTTACAAGTATGCACTAACAGCCTTGTAGAACAACTGTTACCTTGCATGTTTTTATGGAAAGAGAAAAAAAAAGGTAATTTCATTTATGTTTTTTTGATATTTGATCCCTGATACACAAACCTTATGAGCCCGAGTTCAGGTTGCCTTCAGCTGAAGCACTCTAAGCACTGAGGCTTGTGTCAAGTGCTTGGATCTTCAAAACTTGGCTGGAGGTTTCATGGCAGCCTTTCTTGTGGTTATTTCTGGCACCTCTGGCTGCCAGTTGGAACAGGGGGCTGTAGATCTGCGGGGAAGTGGAAAGGAAAGGAAAGGAATGGGTGTGAGCGCCTGCACGGAGCAGGAGCCCTGAATAGCAACAGGCTTGGGTTAAGATGGGGTTTTGAAATGCGCAGAGACTCGGGGAGCAGATGTAAGTATGAAAACCAAACCAATTTCCTCATTCCGGCTATTAATACGAGAGGGGGAAAAAAGGTCCTTTGAAGTGATTTCAAACAGCAATTAATATCCCTTGGAATCTCCCCGTCAACTCAGTGAGGAGTCTTGAGTGAGAAGCTGGAATGTAACCTCACAAAATAAGATAGGCAGGAAGGGAGAAAGGAAAGGCCTGAAGACATTGTCCTGAGCGATGGGAATATAATGTCTCCCACCTTCTGCTGCACTGGTATGCCACTGCCTCGGCTGCCACTGCGGATCAGGGGTGGCACCTGGAACAGTTACACCATAGGCCTAGGGGTACCACTGGTGCTTGGACACGGATTACACTGGATTACACTGCCTGTGCTGCGGTGGAGGAACAAAGGATGTCAGTGGCCCCCCTGCATTTCCCACCACAAGCAAGGCTGAACATGAAGACAACATCATGCCCTGGAAGGCAGCTCTTGGCTGCTCCGCTGCAGACCACAGCTTTGTAAGAGAATGCTCTGGCCTCAGAGGACAGGCTGGTAGGTGCCTTGGGGATGTCCCCTCCCTTGGTGGGGAAGGACGGGGCTTTGAGGTGGGACCACGAGTGTGGGGGAAAACACAGGCGAAAAGTTGAAGGCTCTGAGAGATGGAGATATTCCTCGTGTGTTTGTGTTAATCAAAAGGTACGTGAGATTCTCCAAAGGCAATATTTTACTCTGGTGTTATGTGCAAGCATAAAGTGAAAGCCTGCCCTTTGACAGCACTCGTATTTTCTTAAAACGCTCCACCAGAACATGCTGTCCCAAATATCCATCAGTACTCCATCATACCCGAGCCCCGTAAAGCACACAGCGCGGGATGTTGTCTCAGGACTGCCGTCTCCTGTTGCTACACAAATGTTGAGGTGAAGCCCTAGTTTATTGGTTTTTAAGGCAGAAGATATTGTTTCTGCACATTTTTACTTCACACAGTGCCCTAATTTCTATTAGTCTTAAGATGACATGCCTTGGATTTATTTGGCTTACTGGAAGGCTGGAGGAGCCGAGGCCAGTCGGATACTTCATCTCTTGTACGTGGCAGCCTGGTCCTCGTGGCTGTTCTTGCAGGTCAGTGCTTCTGAGGTTCCACTGCCTGCCCTTCCTGGATCTGCCAGAGCACCAGGCACTCCTTGCCCTTGAACTTCTGCTCCCCAAATCGCCTCCTTCCCATGGAGAGGAGCTTGCATGTGGGCTGTTGGCTGCAGCCTTTTGTAGTGACTGCTGCTGAAGGGAACCACGAGAGGTATTTAAAAAGGTGGTTTCAGCAACAGGTCTTGTGGGCAGGTTTCTCCTCTGAACTTCCTGGTGCTGCCTCACATGAAGTGCACAGCTCAGCAACTGCTGAATGTGGGGAGCAATGCCCAGAATGTCATGGAATCACAGAGTGGTTTGAGTTGGAAGGGTCCTAAAATCTTACCTCATTCCACGTCCCTGCTGTGGGCAGGGACACCTTCCACTGGACAGGAGTGCTGGATGTCTGACAGGGCTGGCCAGGGAAGGTTTTCATACTTACAGGTATCTATCCAAAGGTTTTCCGACGGACTGCGTGGCTTCTGGGTGGTATCAGCGTGGGTTGCTTCTCCCTTCCGTTGGGGTGAATCCCAAAGATCTGGGGCTCCACGCTGGGAGTATTCCTTGTCTGCCTGCATGTGCAGGAGCTGCTGTAGCAGAAAAACTGTGGAGCTGGGAAGAGCGCTGAAAGAGCAGCCAGCTCTCAGGGATGCTTTTTCCCTTCTGTTTTTGGCCTTGTTTTGACTTGGACAACACATTTCTCCAGTTTCACTTTCACTCTGCCTTTTTGTTTCTTCCCTAGAATGCTTTGTTCTTCAGACTGCCCTAAAGTGGCAAAGCCCTTTTGGAGTTGTATGTGCTCCCGGGGAATTGTTGTTTGCTCTGAACTAGTCTGTTTCTGTTGGAATTACCAAACAAATAATTTAAAAATCATCAAGTCCTCAAAGCTTTATTTATAGAGCAGACATTTCTGGCTAAGTGTAACCTGCCAATGTTTGGTTTTCAATGTTTTGTTTAGGATATGTTGGTATAAAAGATGAGAGACAGAACAAGAGATGTGAAAATCCAAAGCAGTGAATGATAATGCTGCTGTTTAATTATTTGAAAAGAAAACATTTCTGATGACCCAGGATGGACAATGGGATAATAAACCAAACCCCTACCCAAAGGAAAGAAAAGAAAAAAGGCAAACCAGCAGCCCAAGCCAACCTTTGATGTGTGGCATCATAAATTGTGTCCCGCTTCGAAATGATCTGCAGTTTAGAAATTAAATGATAGAAGGGAATATATGGTGGAGTTACTGTATTGTAAGTACCAGCTGCTCCTGGGTAGCCTTTTTCTTCATATCAAAAGAGGGCCTGCAGAGGGAAAACCTGGCAACAACTTGAAAATTTAATCAATGGAAACACACTTGTTCTCTGGGAATAAAGAGTCTGTATTAGTACAGTCGGAAAATGGTTAAAGGCAAAGAGCTGAGGTGAACTGAGAAAAAGAAGAAGAAACACTGAGATGAATATCTGTTGTTTAAATTGGCAAAGTAAGGGGAAAAACAGTGTTCCAAGAACAATAACCTAAATGGCACTGGAAATCAATTAATGATGGATTGGCTGGGGCTGAGCAATACAGATCTCCATAGATTTACTGCGTAGTTTGCTGTTGTGGTAGCTTTATAGCTTTTTTTCCAAGTATGCATTGCAGGACATCACCTGAGAAGGACGCTCAGGTGTGTATATGGTTGGGTTAGGTAGAGAAGTTTGGTGATTTATCAGTACAGGACCTGTGTTACTGATGGTGTATTTCGGATTTCCTGCTGCTGCTGCCATTTGGCATCTCCAAAGCCCTGCGGAGGTGTCCCAG